GTAGCAGGACATGGGCGAGGCCCAAGTTAGGCGAGGCCTTAGGATAGGAATACAGTAGACTATGCTTGTTTTTTTGTGCTAGTATGTTTATGTGATTGTATATGTATAGTGGGCAAGGTTCGGAGACAGGCGAGGCCTAAGAGACAGATCTGTATACCGAGCGGGGCCCGATGCAGTGGGCGGGGCCCAATTTATGTCGGACTTCGGTCCGATGCCGGGCGGGGCCCAATTTATGTCGGACTTCGGTCCGATGTCGTGCGGGGCCCGATGCAGTGGGAAAGGCCCAGTATGTGTTATATGTGTTATATGTATGGTATGTGGTAGTATGGGGAACTCACTAAGCTTCGTGCTTACGATTTTCAGTTTTGGTTTCAGGTACTTCCAGTAGCGGAGGGAAGAGCTCGGGTTGACTGCATCGCACACACAATGATGTTTTAGCATGGGATGTTTTACTCTGACATGATATGTTTAGACATGATACTCTGATTAAATATGTTTTGAATGAATGGTTTGACAATTATGGATTTTATTAAGGTTTTAAAATGAAATTTTTGGTCATGATTTTTGGGATGTTACATTTTCCTTGTTTCAAATCAACAAGCATGTCCTTGCATAACTTTTGACTTTATCCATCGCCCACCACTCATATCAGAGACCACACCTTTACAGATGGGCCTAACTCTTGTTTTGTCATTTTTTTTGAAAATGTAAGGACCTCTTAGTTTCTACTAAAGGCATATTTATGTAACCTTTCACATCTTTTTTTGTCTTGAACTTTTGTCCTAACCTGAATTCAGAAACATGAATTTCGCCATGAGAACATGCATTTCTATTACTTAAATATCTCAACATCCTCTCCTTAAAGTCATCTTCATCTACTATTGTTGACTCGAATGAATATGAGTCATGACCTCCAAATTTCATCCTTAGTTTGTTGAATACCACTTCCATTTGCTTCATTGAATGTCTTTGGAATCCACTCAATATCTTCATACACACACACACACACACACACACATATATATATATATATATATATATATATATATATATATATAGGAAAATCTATCATATATACTTCAACATCATCTACTTGTTTTTTTAAGTCCACAATGTAGTCATTATCATCACTATCATCTGTCCCATTTCCCTCACTCCCATTGTCCTCACCCCCACTACCCTTACACCCATTATCATCTTTCCCAACATGTTCTTCCTCTATATTTCAATCCCTATAATATTCTACATCAACATCCCTCATTGTTTGGTAATCATTGATATCAATATCATCCAACTCGGCCCCCCAAGGGATCAAAGTCTGCAACTAAGTCTTTCTTGTTGAATGTAAAATTATATTGACAAACTCTTTTTGTTAAGTAGCTACATAGGGTATAATAGACTTTGAGGCTTTACTTGGCTCGTTTAAATCCTAGTTTCTACTAAATGATTCGACTATTTTTTTCTTTTGTTTCTATACTTATTCAAGTCAGTAGAAGCATCCCCTTCAAGCTTCTTAATAACAACCTTTAACGTGGAATTAAAGTATGGGAATATTCTAGTTTTCCCATGTGAATGTATACATTAATTTCCTTGTTATCAGACACATACATTGCCAACTGGAGGACATCTTGACTAATGTCAAGTGGCAGCAGCCCAAGATCCAAGTCCGTCTCCGGTATCATGGAATGGTAGAACGTTATACCTCCATCATTGTACCCTAAATCCGCCATCATATCATCCAACTCATGGACTAAAAACACATCCGTTTCCACAAAATCAAAATAATCCACTTGAGTTTCTATGTATGACTCAAAAAAACAATTATTGAACTGTAACACCAAGTTACAGGTATAATCGCTCTTGTGATTTTGGAAATTAAGACTTAAAAAGAATAAGGTTTTTCGTGGCCACGACATGGCGGTGTAGTCGTTACGATATGACATCACCCAAAGGAATCATGCTTTTCATTTAGGCCCCACTGCGTGGCTTGGTTTTAGCCACGACCTGGAAGCGGCCAGCATGCAAAACCCTAATTTTTGGGCCTTGACCCTTATTTAAGGGATGTGATGGCTAGGGTTTGCTCACCCTCAACCTCCATCACCTCCCTTTCAACCTAATCAAGCCCTAGCCTTAATTTTTGAGTTGTTGAAGTTTCTTGGTGTTTTTTGGTGATATTGAAGGAGAAGAAGTGTCCTTTGAGCATAGATCCAACAAGCAAGTTCCCTCACCATCTTATTGCACATATTCTGGACCTTTTTTAAGTTCACAAATTCAAATCTCTCTATGTTATTCCTTTAGATCTAGATTTTTATGCACTTCTCTCTATGTTTGGGATAATTTGAATGGATGGATTCCATAAAGTTAATCTAAAGTATCGTTGATTTTTTATCCCATGCATGAGGTTTTGACCTCATTTTCACCATTTTTGACCTAACTAGAGTTCAAGATGTGCATTGGACATGCATGTCCATAAAACAAGGATTTTTATGAGGTCTTTGGGTGTAAGGTGTTGGATTAGGTGTCTAAGCCCATAACTATAATTGATCTATACTTGAATTGATAACAATCCTTTTGGGTTGCCCTCAAACCTAGCAATTGGACATGATGACTTTTATAGAGAGAGGTTAATTTATGATTTGATTAATAAATTAAAATCAGAAGTCTATTAATATATTATGAAAATAATATATTAATTAGAAAAATTATTATTTAATTAATAATTGATCAGAAATTAATTAGAATTAATTTTGGGGTTAATAGAATTAATTAAAAGTGGAGGGTCTAAAGTGTAATTGTTCAATTGTTGGGCAAAAGGTTCCAGAACCTTCCAACTTAAGGGTTGGACGGTTTTGGAGGGGATATTCTAGGGTTTCTAGAATATCTCATGTGGATATATAAGGAGGTAGATAATTACCAATTTTAAATAGTATTATTATATTTCAATTAGGGTTATCCAGGGTTTCCTTGTACCGCTATATAAAGGACCCTAGCCCTTAGAATTTTGGCCACTCATTATTCCAAAGGGATAGCCGAAATTCATACCTCCCCTCTCCTCCTCAAGTCATATTCTTCTAGCTTGGGTGTGATTCCATTAGGGGTACGACATTTGTGATGCTAGCTTCCAAGAAATCTACAAGTGAAGGATCATTATTATTTACTACAATAACAAGGTATGTAATTCTAAATCTTCTTTTGGTATTTTCGAAAATAGCCTATACCATCTAGGGTTTCTTATTTGATGTTCTTAGTTATAGGTTCAATAGTGAAAACATAGATCCTTAGGTTGGATGTGAACTTAAGGGTTTTAAGTTTATTTGTTTTGCATAAAACCTATCATAAAGAAGCCTTCTGGAAGAGATGAGTGGGTAGCTTAATGGATTGAGGGATTAATCCATTAAACTGTCCAAGAATAGTTCCCATGATGTGGTGATATGCTCACCACGTCGTGGTGTATGAGGTTCTCGCGACTGTTTGTCCTGAGATTTCCACGTCGTGGAAGACGCTTGGCAACGACGTGATGACCAACAAAGTTGACTTTTGAATGTTGACTCTGACTGTTGATCGTTGACTTTTTGACCAAGATTGACTTTCGGTCAACTTGAGGGTTTTGGGGCTATAAACTGAGCATGTACCTCTGATTGTTGTATAGGTGGCTCGTAGCACCAGTCTTTATTACATGTGAGCTGTATTGATAGTCTGCTAGCCTGCAAGGTGAGTTTTCTCACTATACTTTTGTTCTACAATATGTATCAGTATGTGTAGGATGTTATTATGTTGTAGTGATCTTTTAGTTTGGTAGATTTGATATGATTACCTGTGTTTCTGGTTACTGTCTGTTTGTATATGTCGACATGTTGTGGTTGGGTTGAGGCGGTCTTGCCTTGTGTTATAGGCCAAGATACCCGGGCGGTCCAAGTATATTGTAAGCCTTGCGAGGCCGTTCAGTCAGACTATAGGCCCGAGGAGAGCGGTCCAGGTGTAATGTAGGCCTTGCGAAGCGGTCTAGTAAGACTATAGGCTCATGTATGCATGCATTGTATGTGTGTTGTGGGAACTCACAAACTTTGGCTCACAGTTGTGGATTTAAATGTTTCAGGTACTTCATAGGATCAGAGGAAGGCGAAGACGTGATCGTACACATCATCCTGTGGATTTATGTTTGAGAAATGTTATTTGATACTCTGATTTTATGGTTATGTTTTAAAACATGAATTAGATAACTTATAATTTTTATGAAAATGTCTTTGAAAATGAAAAATTTTACTATGGTTTTTGGGACTTTACATGAACCCACCATCATGGTGTATTTTAAATGTGCAAAAGCTTGATACAAGACCTAAGATGAAGGTTAAAGAAAGAGATGTTACATATAATGCCAAAAGTATCACGAACGTTACAAGGTTATTCTTACCATACTCTTCATACATGTCAGGTGGTTGAGTAGAACGAGCATCATTGTAGTTTAACCCTAAGATGCTTGCACTGGATGAGATTGCACTGTGAATCGAGTCAATGGTATAAAGAAGATGGATTGATCAGTCACTTGGGAGGCTTACAAAGAGGGTTTCTTGGGACGAGAAGGGTAATAATTAACTTCGTATGAAACTCAACCTCTCACCCACTTTATTATTTCGAGAAATCCTTAGGCGAATTTTTCAAAATGCCCTCATGTGCAAGGCACATGGGGCAACTTAACATCTATTTCAAACAAACATCTCGTGCAAGGATCATTATCGTGAAAACTTTTACTAAAAAGGACCATTGATGCAAAAAAAAAAGTTTCATACAAATGGTTTTAAGGAATTTTTTTAAACAATAAGGACCATTTGTGAAATTTTGTCTTTTTTATATATCAATAAAATAAACAGATCATCATCTAAGTTTATTATTGTTTAGGTCTTACAAAGTTGTCCCTCAAATGACACACACAGATCACAAACAAATGTATAAAAAGATCTTGAAACTATGGGTTTGGGATATGAACAAGAAAACCAATCATGTGGTATACTTAATAAATGACAGCAAAACAAGTACCATTTTTTTTGGAAACTAGCAAGACATTATAATACTGTTTTAATGGTACACAAATAATTGTGTTATAATTTAGGCCCAAAATAATAATATAAATTAAAAAACTGATGAAGCTCTACCAGTCAACTCCAACACAGACTCTTCCACCAGCTCCTCAAGCAACTTCCCTTCTATATCCTTTCTTGTATCATCAATTTCCAATCTCAACCCCTCCACCCACCCCCTCCCCACCACCTCCTTCCTCACCACCTCCTCCACCACACTCCCGCCATCACCATCACTATCCTCCCACTCCCCCCACCTCTCCTCCCCGGAAAACAACCATTCCTTCATCCGGGCCCACACTCGGTCCCCCACCAATGCTGACGTCATCATGTGAGCCCCACCCCCACTACCAATATCCATCAACGCCTCGTTGACACAATCAAACACGAGTTTTGTCATGGATCTATGATGATGATGATGATGCCTTTGTTTGTTTTGCGACAAAATGGAGTCTTTTTCGGTTAGGTTCATGTACTTGTCCCTCAATGATGGGTCTAATGGGCTTTCGGGTGAATGCCACCTGGCGAAAAGTGAGTTTGATCGGGTCTTATGGAGACCTGCTACTGATAACAAGGTCTCAACATACAACAGACATTCTTGCTCCTCTTCCTGTGGGTTTAGTGGTGGTGCTGATGATGAGGGTTTACCGGAGTACGGTGTGGCTGACCCTAGGCTAGTATCATCCCATGATAGGGTACGGGATATGGACCCAATGGGTGGAGATTTGTCAATCAACTTGTATTTCATAGAATCTACATCAATGTTAACAAAAGTGGATAAATAAAAAGAAACCAACATTTTTATTTTTTTACTTTAATAATTAGTTAAGAAAATTACCATGCTTATTCAGCTTGGCATTTGCTGTGTGATCATCTTCTTCAAATTGTGGTTCCAAGACTGATATAGGGCTTGGTTGGTCTTGGTTCTCGCTGCTGTGGTTTCTGAGAAACTCGGGATTTTTACAAGAAAATCCAGCCTTCTGCAACAGCAACAGCAACAGCTTATTATTAATCAATCAATCATTTAGACAATAAAAAGATAATATAAGCAAATTTGTGAACAGTTAAGGACTTGAGTTAAAAAGATACAAAAGAAGCCATACCTCAGGTAAAACTATGACTTGTGATCTTCTATATAATAATTGACTACATGATTCGTCTTCAACACATGGAGATCCTTCATTTCTTGGGCATTCATCCTTTGACTGGTTTGACTTCTCTTTGCTAGATTTCTTGTTTTTGGAGAAAAACAAACTTGAAACTCTCCCCTTGAATGATGATTTCACAAGCTTTTCCTTGCTATCATCTCCTTTCCCTTCCAAGGAACCTGAAACTCCAGATGTTGGAACAGATTTTGATCTTGAAAGCTTTCTAGGGCTATTATCATTATCATCATCATCTTCACGCTTGTTCAAATCATTAGATCCCATAATAAACTCTTGTTTTTTTTCCTCTGGTTTTACGGATTTCTTCAAATCAGAAAGAGCAAGCATATCACCCAATGTACTGGAACTTCTTTGTATCTGTCTTTGTTCTTGAAGATTCTTATTTGATGCCATCATTGCCCATCTTTCAGAAAGACGTTTCTTAGCTTCCCTACAGACAGATGACTCTGGTGAATAAGATGCACGGCTGGATGAAGTGGCATAGTGGCTATTAAACCGATTAATATAGTCCCATGAGTGTCTAGAAGTTGGTGACACAACTTCTGAATCACTAAGGTTCCCTGCTGCATAATCAATTTCTGATTTACAAAATGAACTATCATCACCAATATAACCATTTGAAAAAACAGAAGAAAGAAGGGTCTCGTCTCTTCTAAGTGCAATCTCCTCTTCTTCAGTTTCTCTTGATTCCAACACCTCGCTGTCTTCTGGATCCCCATCAAATACATCATCATGTGAATGTGAATCAACAACCTTGATGTTATGAGGTTTTAGTATCACAATACGCGTTGGCTGTATAGGGTTTTCATCAGTTTTGCAACATTCAGGAGAAAAGAAGAGATCAGAATTGTTTTTATCCCATGGTATCGGGTCCTGTTTTTCATTTTTCTTTTGAGTATCCACCAACTTAGAAGGCCTAAGAACTGTGATGCGTCTAGAGTCTGGAGGTGGAGGAACAGACTGCAGATTGTATAGATGCTGAGAGAATAATGAATTGGGTTCTTGAAGAAACTTGAGAAACAAATCTTTATTGGAACTTAAAACTTCCAATGCATCTTGAAACTGTTTGGACTGGCGAAGTTTTCCATCAGTAGATAAACGTTTGGCTTCCATGAACTTTTCCCTGATAAGATCCATCTTACTCTCACTCTGTTTTTCACTACATCTTTCTTTGTAATGTTGCTGCCATATTTCAAAAACATCTTTGTATTCTTCCTGTTCAGGACACTTTGTGATCTCATGTTTTGATTGTGTGTCCAAGGATTCAGATTGGCTCCTTGAATGTCTTGAATGGCTCCTGCATGAAGCTGAAACAGGTTGTTGATGCTGCTGTGGGAGGGCATCCAGCCCCATCAGCTTCGCAACCAAATTAGATGGACTCTGCTTACATTCATCTTCTTTTGACATTTCTTGTGCAATTAGCATCTTTATGGGTGTTCCATTTCCATCATGATGTGGCTTATCTGTAAGGAGCTTGTTCCCTCCCAAACCAGTATTTAAATCAAACAGGTTCACCATTCTTCCCAAGCATCCTGAAATAGGTTTCTCAGGATTTCGGTTTTTTCCATTCTGAATCCGGCTCATTTTTATACCTGTGAAAGGTGCATTTCATAGTTAGTAGTAATCACCATTGCTGTCTTACAACACAAAATTGGGTTTTTGAAGAGATATCCATAGGAAGGCATCTTAATATATTGAAACCCAACAAAGAGGAATTAAAAAGAGGCAAACAAATAGACGAATACAAATCTCAGTAGGTAGGAAAAATTCAAATGTATATTAAACACCAATATTAGGGCAAACTGATAGATTCCTTAAAGATCAAATCAAGAAAAAAGAAAAGTGAATCTAGAGCAAACAACATGACGTTGAATAAAGAGCATCTACTATGCAATCAGTTACTAAGAATAAAAAAATAAAAAAGACCCAGAATAAAGTACAAATATAAAAACACCTCTGATTGATGTTCTTTGAAGGTAAAATGATTCAAGCTCCAGATATCAAGAATCGCATTCAGAAACACCTACTTGGTAGTTCGTTTTTGAACCATGAATAGGAGATATCATCATTTAATTCAGTAGGGTGGAGGTGAGGGGTGGGAGAAGCAAGAGATTTACAGAATCCCTTCCAAAAGATTATCTAGAGATAATAAATAAAGAAAAAGAGGGATAACAACAGGGACAGGACTATTACAGATTGTGAAATTCCAGCATATTCACATGAGACTTCACATCAAGCAGTCACTACTTGAAATAGAGTTTTCAAAAGAATCCGAAAATGAAAATATATAATAGTTGAGAAAATCGAACAGACAAAACAAAATCACTACACTCGTTCAAATTGACATCATTATTTAATCAGTACAAATGTAAGGAAAAACAAAAGCCCTAATTTTATGTTTCAACTTTAACTTCATCTTAAAAGCTATGTAATTATTTATCACAAGATCATTTGGAAAAAAGCTGTTCAATTACAGAAGAATAATAAGAGAATCTGATTCTGTTTTATACCTTCGAAAAGCGACATCGAATGAGGAGCAAAACAAAACGAAAAAGGAGCTCACGCTGCTAAAAAAACCGCAGCAAAGAAGAGAGAGAAAGAGCGGTTTTAGGTAGATAAAGTAGCGAGACCCTGAGATCAATACCTTATAGTGAAGCACTCGCTAAATGATCGCCGTAATCTGACATTCCGGTCATAAAACAGCCTGAGATTCGCCGATTTCGTCTTTGATTCTGTCGTTATTCAGATCACTGATCACTTCCGGTTACACGCACACACCCATTCGCCGGTGAGAGAGAAAATTTGCGAATAAAGCCAGATATAGCGATAATAAGGAGCCCGAAATAAATAAATATATATATTTTTTATTTTTCATTAAAGCCCTCATACGTTTCTGTTAATTTCATAAAATCCCAGTTAACAATATTGTGTTTCATTTCAGGACAATACAACCGGGGGACAATGGGACATGGCAGGTAGCTATAAGAAAAGGAGACGTTATGGACAATTTTATTTTATGGTCCTTTGATTTTAGACAAATTTTTATTTGAATTCTTAATTCACTTGTACATGGTAAATGTCGTTTAATTTTTAAGCAATAATTTTTTTTTCAAAAGCAATCGGTATCGTATGTTATTTATATTTAATATTTTAAATTTACTTGTTTAGCATTATTTATATAGATTTTCATATAATAGTCTGATATTATAAATATGTCTGATTCCTCGACATCAACAGTTTTCATATAATCTTTACTTGATATTATAAACATGTCATTTTCTGTAGTTAATGTCATTTTCTTTTTTGATTTTGTTTTGGTTTTTCCTTTGTAACTCTTGTTGCTCCCTCTAGTCACTTGCTAGAGGTCTGCATTTTATATCTATTTGTCGGTTCCAAAAAAAAATTTGATATATTAGCTTATTCATTTTATAAGTTAGTTTGATAATCAATAAACTATTTCATATACTTTATCAAAAAAATTATAAGTTATTTCCATTGTTTCATTAAACAATAAACTGCAATAAATATAAAAAATAAAATAAAATTATACTCGTCAAACATACTCAATGATTAAGTTGACAAAATAATTATGACATAAGGATTAATGTGTTATTTCTTCCTATAACTAAAGTACCATTTGTGTAAATTAATTTCAATGTTTTTAACTGTCTTAAAAGGGTTTAGAACCGTTGAAAGCGTAACCTGTGAATATGCAAGGGACCACCGCAACAAACATCACCAACTTTGCAACGTTTAACTTTATATTTTTTACGTATTAAAACAATTAATAAATTATAATTATAATTCTTATTTTAGTTTAACTCTTAATTAACAAATCTCTATACTAATAAAAGAATAGTTTTAATCTTCTTTTGTCATGTGTCACTCTAATACAACTTCATATTAATATTATGTCATGTATCAAAGATATATATTAGGTAGATTACTATCACAATTGATGACGTTAAGGTTTTAAATAACTGATTTTAAACTTTTTTATAGAAACATTTGTTTTTTTAATTATATGTTAAATTTGAAGTTATAACTAACTTTAAAATTTTGGTATATCTCTTAATTAATAGGTTTTTTAAAATTATTTATTTAAAATAAATAATTAGTAATTATGAATTTTTGCTATAAAAATTGAATTAATTTTGTAACCATGGTTTCCACGGGTTATAAACTAGTATAAATCATAAATGATATTGAATTTAAGATGGAAAATAGATGTTTCGAACTCTTAAAAAATGGGTCAAACAAGTTAATGTCATGGGCTAAGTTGGACCAATTATTTGATATGTCAATTTCTTTTATTTTCAATTTGGATTTTTATATATAAATAATATCTTAAATGCCGTTCTAAAAAAAGCAATATCTCAGATAAGATTATTATTATAATTAAAATTAACAAACACCATTAGTTATTTACTAACAAAAGTGGTTAAAATTTAGGTTATTAGGTACTAGTTGTAAGACTTGTATATTATACGGGTTGATTAAAACAAAATGTTAAATAAAAATGATTACACGGTAAGTTTATTTGAATTTGAAATTTAAAATAAGTAAAAATTATGAAAAAATAAATAAAAAAAACACATGTAAAAAAGTAAATTAAATTAATTATAACAAAATGTTAAATACGAAGGTTTCAACTGTAAATTTATTTAAAATTAAAATTGAAATTTAAAATTTGAAATTTGAAATTTAAAATTTAAAATTAATATAATCATTATGGTATATTTAATTTATAGAAACTAAATTAATGATATATTGAAAAAATAAAAGTTGAAGTAAATGACAAGTGTCAAAAAAATATCTCAAAATTATGACAAAATGACATTTGACAAATTGAATGAGAATGTGACAAGTGACAAAAAAACTTTCATTTATTAGAGTTGATACATTAACATTTTAGAAAGAGTGGTTTTTGAAATGTCAAATTGCAAGAAAGTCACTATATTATCATAAAATTTCGATTTTGATATCAGGGTTTTTTTTCTCTCAATTATGTCACTATATAATACAATTTTGTTACAATATCAACCAAATGATCGGTTCTACCTGTTCTCCCAGTAATAATTTTTCCCAAATTGCAATAAGGTCACTAAGTTTGCCAAAATTTTGATTTTGACACCATGTTTCAAATTGCAAGAAAGTGACTATATTACTATAAATTTTCGATTTTGACACCGAGTTTTTTTCTCTCAATTATGTCATTACATTTACAATTTTTTTGCAATGTCAACCAATTGATCGATTCAGAAGATGTATTATGGTTTAGAAGCTCGATTTTGTACAACAAATAAATGCAGATCAGTCTGATAGTTCAAACTCACTTACAAGTCAGAGAAAAATGGCATACTCACCCTTTGAGGAGATGTTATTGTGGGTTAGAAGTGTTGGGTTATGAGCATTCTAACACTCCTAAGTGTACATGCAACCCTAAATACCTTGGATCTATGTTTTCTCTATTATACATACAATTATGAACATCCAAGGTATTATCCTAATCTAGCATACAAAATAATAAATATAACAAGATAGAATACATACCTCTTTGATGTAGAATGTCTTCATGAAGCTTGAGTGCCTAGTGCCCCAAGTGTGACACCTCAAATGGTTCACACAACACCAAATACACTTGGAATAACTTGAGAGAAACTTGAACACTCCTTGAAATCGTCTAGCCCTCACACTCACACATTAGTGCACGATTTCTTGAGCCATGGGATTCTTTTATATGGTGGCTATTAGGGTTACACCATGTAACTCATAACTTTACCCATTCCTTATGCTCCATGGATTTTAACCTCCATGGAGTATCCATGGGTCACCCCATGGTCTTAGTCCAACATAAGGAATCTTGGATCACAAGCCCACATATATAAGAATGAATGATTTACACAATCAACCCATATATTTAATTAGTCTCCTTTTGATCACTTAATTAATTCCAAATTAATTCTTGATCAATACTAATTAAATAACCTTATTAATATATTAGAGCTTATAATATATTAACCAACCTTAAGTGTTATTTCTCTCATTATAGTCTATCCAAATGCATGATGTCATGCAACCCAAATGGACCATGCCGGGTCGGGTCAAGTCTTACCAATTATAGTTATGGACTTAGACATTAATCCAACAGTCTCCCACTTGGATAAGTCTAAAACTATTATTGCGTATGACTTCAGGAACCGATCAGCAATCGTAGCTCTCAAAAGCTTCTATCGAACTCTGACCTTGTCGATGAACTCTGACCTTTGTCAATGACTTGTCCATTAGATAAGGGATCATATATTCCTCCATTCTAGATATCATATGGACTGAGACATGGATTATCAATCATTCTCTCTGTCCATTTGTTGTTTCCCGATTTCCGATTCATGATGACTGACTGATTGAACAAATCAAATCAGTCCTGGCTTGGCCAAGCACTCACATTTATCATCTTTAAATCATCGAGGGGCCCACAGATATCGCTTTTATCCCGAAGGTAAAAGGAATGGATAAACTTCGACTCATATGGCTTGTTCTACTACTTGTTGAATCATACACAAAGGCACGTTTTATAACATCGAGTTACCAATGCGTTTTCGTGCAATCAATGTATAACCAACTCATAGTAACAACTCATATCTCTAGGTTTGAAGAATATAAGATATTATCGTCTCATGATCACTCGTGATAAAATCCATGAAGTGATTCAAATGAGCGCGGGTTGAATCCAATACTCAGAACTTATGAGCACTCATGAGTGTTGTAGCACCACTTTGTCCACCAACTTGGACCTCTACAAACCAACCCATGACAGTCTTGATTCATATCTACTTCCAACATATGACCGACTGTGGATGGTTTGAATAACTTAATCATTCAGGAAGAGCGACTTAGTTATTCTGGAAGTCAAAACATGCAAAGTGAAACACAAGAATAAATGAATCAAATATGGTATCAAACCCTATGAATATAAATAAACACTTTTATTTATCACCATACTGATTACTCATTATTCATTGTTTCGGTTTTATCAACTTTATACTTGAATTTAAAACAATAGTTGTCTCATGCTCCAAGCATGTACACTATGTTTTCTAAACACTAGTCATGCCATACACCAAGTATGCATACTATGTTTGTCTATGATCTTTACTTTGTAAAATAGATCATTGAACATCACTCCAATGATCCTCTTTTCACAGTCCCAAATCCTTACTG